TTGCTGTGTCTCCTGTCTCCTGGTTCTCCTCTGGTCAACATGATGTCCTCTCAATTCAGCTCTCCATTGGAGTTGATTTGGTTTGCTGGTGGTGTTGTTCTGCTCTTTCCTTCTTCTCTGGGTCTCATGGCTCAGTTTACTAACAGTGTTAGTATGTGTGCAGGGCTACAGGTCTTCCTGACAGGAGATGCCCTGTAGATACCAGCTTTCAAATAAAGAGTCCCAGTTCAATCTCTCAAAATGTGGTTTCCTTATTTCTCATGGCTGGATTAACCTTACAGCATATTAATTCATTAAATATTGTTGAATGTTGATTGCATGTTGGGAACAATGAAAACCAGTTCGTTAACAAAGCACACACATTTCCCAATTCAAATTTACTCCAAACAAGTGCATTAAAAAGTCAAAAAAGAAATGGCTTCAAAAGGATGGAAGAATATAACAGGCCATATGGATATCAGGAGGACTTTGGATGTAGATCAGTGTTATAGCATCTGCCTAGACTGTGCAAGGCTCTGTGTTCTATCTCCCCCTACACAAAAAGAAAAAGGGACAGAAAGAGAAATAACATAAAAAAGCAGAAACCGGAGCATTGTCAGTGCTGACATGGGATTGTAATTTCAGGAAAGGTGGCCAGGAAGACATTAGTAAAAAGTTAACATTTGAGCAGACCAAATTGAGCTGGAAACTCACCGTGTGTATTGTTCTCCTAGTGCATTGTAAGGAAAGTTAACAACACTAGTGGCCTGTGATCTTTTAGGTGTTGCTGCAGTACCTTGTCAGGTCCAGCACTGTACCAACCTATGTGAAAGCACATACCCTTTGGAGCAGTAGCAAACTCACATGAAGTCAGGATGAGTAGAAAGTCTGGATGCATATGACATCTTAGTTCTGGACCTACTACCTCCAGAGCAGTGCAGAGAGAGTGTGTACAGTTAATCTGTCTAATCAGATACTTAGATGCCTAGTATCAGATGATCCCAATCCACTACTTCCCAAACCAAATGCTAACAGCACACTTTGATATGCTCAGGGCTTGCTTCTCCAATGACCAGCTTTAAGGAGTGTCCTCTCTATTCCCATGCTTCATGGATCTTTCCCCTGAGGCCTAGAGTTTATACTTATGCATTTATCAGGCTTTGTGCATCCTACACATCTAAATGTCATGTTTAACCCAGCATGGTTTCTTTATTCTGACTGGTCCCATTTGAATGACTGGAATAGGAGAAAGGCATGGCTGAAGGGGGAAAAGTTTAGGGCCAAGTCAACTCTACACGGAATAATCACTGAATAGAAGATTAAACAGGTGATGGACAAAACAACAGGGTTTGCTCTCACTCTCTTTGTAGGCTCTTGTGACCAACTTCCTCAACTGTAGAGATAGGTTAAATATGCATTTTTGTTGAGGTAAGAATCCTTATATGTTTACTTAGAGCCATAGACCAGGAAAGCAGAAACATTCTCAGAACCAAGCATGTAAATATTTCGTGGTGGAAATTGAAAGTCAAGCAACATTATCAAGACTGCTTTAGACCAAGGCAATATACTCACCCCAGGATTCCACCTCATGACACTTAATACACAGAGCAAACAGAAAAGAATGCTAGACCACAATTTTGTTTAGTGAATGCCAGTAAGTGTGGGGAAGAATGTGACCAAACAGAAACATCAGCACTGCTCAGGGCCATTTATACAAGTCAGGACATCAAATGCTTGTCAAGTTCCTGATTCCATGAGACAAGGTTGATTTCTTCTATTTCCTATCTTAAGTACTTTTTAGGTACAACTTCATCTCCAGGTGTCCTCCTGTTTGTGTGAAACAGACATGCATAATAACTAGCATTTCTAGCTAGATAGAGAAGCCCATGACCCTCCATGCTACTGACCACTATGCTACTTTTAGGCCTTACAAACCTACAGCCCATTATACCTCACTTCTCCTCCTAGGAAAAACTCAGTGTAGAGCAGTGATTTCCAGGGCCTGTCCTGAGTCAGCCAGGCTATGCTTTCTTAACATCAGGCCTTCCTCCTGTACATGTAGAGAATTCCATGATCTCAGAGTGACTGAAAAATATATTGATCTAAAGAGGCAAGAATTGCAGGTGGGTGCCAGTGTCTCATGCCTGTAACCCTGGCTACTCAGGAGGCAGAGATCTGAGGGTCATGGTTTACAGCAGCTCAGGCAGGAAAGTCCTTGAGACTCTTATCTGCAATTAACCACCTGAAAACTGGACGTCAGGCTGTGGCTCAAGTGGTAGAGCACTTGCTTTGAACTGAGGAACTCAGGACAGAGGCCAGGCCCAGAGTTCAAGCCCTATGACTGATAAAAACAAAACAAAAACTTAACTGATATCCATGAATCAGTGTTAATTATGTATCAATTCATTCAGTAGCTATTTATGGGGAGTGCAAAGAAGGATATTTGAAGAATGACAGTGAGCAAAACACAGACAAACTGTATGCACAGAAGTACAGAGAAAGTTTAAGAAATATCAATATATGGAAAATTTTAAAAATGCAGGGGAATGAAGGAATCATACATATGGTTGAAGGCCTTCTCAGAAATTATACAGAAGGCATAAAAGAACAGCATGGTTTGAGGAAGACAATAGGGATGGAGTTTCAGATAAGGTGACCCAAAGTGACACTGCTTAAAATGACAGCAGAGTATGTAGAAGAAGATGACACTGTTCTATGTATTTGTATATACAGTGCATTGCAAGAAAAGGAAACTGAGTGTTTGTGCGCTTGTCCTTGGTGGTACTAGGCTGAAGAGAAAAGAATACAAAGGAAATAGTCTGTGTTCTTATTACACCCTACTTCAACCCAACCAGGGCCCCAGCAGAAGCACCTAAATGCTCTGAAATGCATTGGTAGTTGGGAATTTTGTACATTCTAAACGTTTCTCCTCAGTTTTCTTCCCAAGAAAACTGATGATATCTCACCTGCAACTGCTTAAATGTAATCCACCAAACACACACAGAAATAGCAGAAGGAGTCCTTTTACGTTTAGCCACTAGAGAGGAAACGTTAGATGCCAATTAGAATTGCAAAATATTTTTTTGTCCATTGGAAGAAGAGATAAAATTGTTTACAATTAGCACAGTAATAAACATGAGTCCTGTGCTATGTGGGGATGTGAGGTAACTGGGACTGGCTCCTATCATGCACAAGGACCCTCCTTATCCTTGTCTGGTGAATCTCAACCCCCAGACTTGCCTTGAACCCCTTTTGTAGCCAATGCTGTCTTTACCAATGTAATCCTGTTAAAACAACCTTTACAGAGGAGGGAAAAGGATAACTAACTGGGAGGTGGGTCTGCCATTAAAACAAAAAAGGGGGAATCTGTAGAGCATATGGGCAGCAAAGATGGCGCTGAGAGGGAGTTGAGTGGGCAGAGCCCAATTTCCTGTGTAACCAGCCCGTGGAAGCTTAGATGCATGATAGGGTGTGACCTTGACAGTGATTGGTTCTTCTTTCTCCCCTGCCATGCCACCTGCTCTTTTTTGGCTTTAAAAAGGGCTGCTCTCTGTTAATAAATGAGTTTCTTCCTGGTAAAAAAAGTTGTTTACAATTAAACTGGGTAATCTGTTTTGTGATTTTTCTTTTAATTATGTATAGATCCCAATCCTGTGTAACACCTCTTTCCCAGCTTCCTTTGGGAAGGTGGGTGACTGCCCCTCACCTCAAGATAATTCCCAGTGTGACCAGGATAAGGCTTGTATCTTTCAATGCTTATTACTTGGAGCTAACCAGAAATGTTTCCCAGTACATATTTATTATAGACTGCCTCCTAGAAAAGAATAAAAAGGTATGTTTGTGTGAGGAGTTTTTATATGGTTGGCTAAGTCCTTTATCGTAGGTACATGAGTTTGAGACCTGAACTCTCTCCACATTTCTGATGTTAAACATATAACATTTAGAGATTGGAATCACAGAAATCTTCCATACAGTAAACAAGAAAATCACATTTTTCTTTCATCAAAGACTTATGAGACAACAAGCTTTTCATCTCTCCACAGGTACAATGGAGCTAATCAATTCCTTTTTTCTGACTAAACTTTCTAAAGGGTTATTTGCATTAAATGTCCAAGTATAGAGTGCTTTATTACCCAAGTGTTGATGAAGAAGCAACTTTAGAACAGAGAAAACAAATTAGCTGTTTGTGGGTTTTTCACACTGCCATATTGATTTGAAAATTCCTTTCCTTCTCCATTTTCTTATTTTCCTCCAGGTTGGGGCTGTTGGTTTTTCTTTTTTCTCTTTCTGCTAATGGGCTGAACTTGCCTCCATTTCTTACTCTGCTTGCTACTCATGGCTTGCACTCTCCCAGTTGAGTAAGGTCTCTAGCCTGCCTTATTGCTAGTTAATTGGAGACAAAATGTGGCAGACCATTCTGCATTTTTTGGCTTTCTCCTATAGATTTCCTGCTCCAAATTCAAGCACCATAGGGAAAGGGTAGATTTTCATTTTTTAAGATGGCTTGTTATTCTAGTTTTATCCTAGTTACTGAATGACCCTGTCTGAGGATGTTTTTTCTGTGAGCTTGCTGGGTGCCACTCAGAATCCTGCCCTTGGTTATTTGATAGCAGCTGTTCAGCACTAACCACTCTGAGATGATTGTACCAGAGCTGTAACAGAGCTGCCTTCTTCTCTTTCATTTCTACTCATCAAATTCCAGAAAAAGAAGTCCCTTGTATGTTATGTGATAGAAGGATTTGATGGAATGAATCTGGACATTAAAACCTTGTAAGTATTGATTTAGTGGCTTTATGTAAAGCAATGACAGGGTCCTAGTATTATAGTATTATGTCTACAACCATACCAAGCGAATGTAAAGTCCAATTACAAAACAACCCCCAGAGACTCGCTTAAATGTAAGTCAGTGTCTTGAATGGATTGTCCAAATAGTGGGAAATCCCAGAAATTCATAATAAAGAAAAACATGCATCATGATGCACAGAATTATTATTAATTGAAAGATAATCTGATTAATCTGACTGGAGGCAAGAAGCTACATTGTCAGGCTGAGGGGGTTGATGGATCATTTCAAATGAAAGCATTGCTGGTTGAGTCCTGCAGAACAAATCTTGAAGATGAAAACTTTTTCATTCTCACTCTCATATTTATGACTATATCCATGGAAACATATTTATAAAATCATCTGAAAATGAAAAAAAATGTAAAGAGCTTGGTATTAAGCCTGAAGATTGTGTTCTCAGAGTCTTGGAATCTGAATGTATACTAGCAACAAGTAAATGCTAGTAAATTTAAAGGAGTCACATTGAATGCTAAGCGGATATGAATGTAGCATTGGAAAATGGACCTCAGTGCGGATGAAGTTTCATCTCCTTAAAGCTGTCCTGAATATCTTATAAAGGATTTTGCCTGCAGAAGCCTTATTTTCAAACCATTTATAGTTTCTGAATATTTCCCAAAGATACCATTTGTTTTCAATTGAAAATAAAATGTTTACATGCTTCAAGGAGATATTTTGATCTACTAATAATTTCTACTAAGGATAAAATTTTCTAATGCTATTATTATACCAAGGATACAGTTAAAATTGACAACCAAGAAACTTCAACATTTTGGCTCCTTTGAAACATATATTACCTTGAATCAGAACACAAAGGATTAAGGGAGTATTAATTAAGAGTATTCCTGCTACTCTTTCTGCTACCTCCACTGCTGAGGTAAGGAAAAAAGCCCTGTCATTACTTTACATACATGCACACAATCAAAAGACTCACTTAGATGAAATATTCTTACCTGTAAATTTTGAGAAAAGAGCATTAAGCGTTTCAAAGTCAGGTATCTTCACAGGAAAACCTCCAGCGGAGCCCGCATTAGCAGGCTCATCTGCAGGACAGTTGAAATGAAGAGAAAACTGTCAGGTGGCACACCCTCTCTCCTTCAGGTAATAACTGTATAACACCGAGTATTAGACATATTATTTTGTTCCAGAATCATCTCTGAATTCCTGTTTTAACGTGGTTCACATCTTCATTTTTCCTATAAACTTCCATCATTCCCCATTCATGTTATCATTTGAATTTGTTGAGAGACAAATATATTGAAGTTCCCTCCATGTGCACTGACATTGACTGAGAAAACAAGCAAGTTCTTTGTCCCAGACATGAGCACACAGTTCAAGTCTACCTTTTGTCTTACCCAGAGAAAACTGTTCCCCAGAAGCAATAGGGGAACTTACATTCTAAAATCTTGGTTGTCAAGTCTGAGATTGGAAGTAAGTATTAGCTTAGGCATTTGCCTCACTAGTAGCAGATTTGAGCCTTTGGCTAAAGAAGGAGGAACAATACCTACAGATCTGATAACTCTGAGTGACAGACTTTTATAATTTATAACAGGGTGTAAGAAAGGAGAGATTGTCAGGCTTCAAAATGAATTTCATCATCAGGAATGCATCTTTTCCAGGCTTTTCTTAGAAGTCTTTATAAAATAGATTATTTACAGGAAGCTGACAGGAAGGCAGCTGGGAAAAATGTGGTCTTAGAAAGATGAATGGCAGAGCAGGTTTCCAATACATATGGCATCAGACATAGTCTCTGTTAATTCTTTCTCCGGAAGATCAAAAAAGAAAGAAAGAAAAAACATTTCAGAGGGTAGATAGAATGTGAGCAGTAATGATAATCCATTCTTGGAAAAAAGTCCTCCTGAGTGGTCAGACTGAAGATAAATGATGCCTGGACAAGACAGAAAAATCCTCTTTTGCATCTTGAAATAAGCCATTGATTATCTTCGATGCATTATTGCTCCTCTTCATTTGTCTACCCTTAACTCCATCCTATCTGTTAGTTTCCTAGTGTTTTATTTCGCTGAACTTTGATTTTGTCTTTGTAAGGAATTGTACTCTTTGAGATCTCCCATGAGATATTTCAGTGCACATATTTTAGTGTTTTTATTTGTATATACTTACATACTATCTGACACATTAACTCATTAGTTTGCGAAGTAAATCTAGTTTCCACATATAGGGAAAAAAAGGCTGAAGAGGAAAAGAGAGGGAAAATTCAGATAAGAATTCAATCTATATTCTATAACATTAAGCAAATTAAGAGGAAGGGTAGGTAGAGGAAAGCAAGGGGAAAATGTTGCTAAAAAGTGACATTAAGCTATATTGTCTTCATTTTTTTCTTAAATGGCAGTTCATATGCACAACTACTTAAAGAGAATACTAAAAAATAAACCACCTTATACTAACAATAATTGACACTAGACTATGAGGTTCACAACAGAGAAAACATCTGATTGAATTAAGAAAACAGAATCCAGTGTCATGAAAAGTGAATATTCAAATGGAAATGGAACTAGGTTCTGAACAACAGGTCAGGAAAGTACAGCTTCATGAAAATCTCTGAACTCACTGAGCCAGACAATACATATTTGCACACAAAGTTTAACTTGGTTAAATCTAATACTAACCAGCAAAAACCAGCATGGTAGCAACTCCTAGTAATATAAGGAGAGTCAAGAACTTCATGGTGCTGAGCTTAAGTTTGGAATTACACCGAAGACAACTCTGGTACCTGGAGAAAGAAAGGTACTGAAACCAGGACTCAGAAACACATTATATATTTTGAGTGCACCAATCAGAAATTTCTAAGTAAATATCTGGCTAGGTACTTCCTGGGGAAGTTGGGGCCCAGTGAACAGAGAAAGATTAAAGCCAGAAGTCATTTGAAAAGGTCATGATTTCCGATCCTTGATTGTGATGATACAGGTTTCAACTCAAGGATGTTTTATAAATATATACGTATATTAATGTGTTCCAAGCCACAACTTCCTCCTACCTGCCTCTTACTCTGGACTTTTAGCTTTTTTATTATAATCTCTTTTGTCAACTTGGAGAGTACAAGGACTAGTCTGTTGATATTTGAACTGCTCCTATCTAAAATTATAGGATCTTATAACTTTGCTAGGCCTGTATCTGTTTAAAGAGAACATTTGAAGTAGACTAGCAACCTCAAAAATATTTCTAGTCTATGTATGAGTCAAGCAGAAAGGGTCAGATAAGGTGATGTTAGGAAAATGAACACTAAGATATGTATTTAAAATTTTTTTTTCTTTCATGCATTTGTTCCTAATGCATTTATAAGATTATTTCTTTGTTGCTTTGTATGTCCCTCCCCCACAGTATAACCCCTGCTTTCACTGTATTTGATGTCAGTACAATTTGTGGAGGGGAAGGGAAAAACAAGTCTTTTAAATAAAGATACAGGTGGACCCATTGCAACAATGAGAAGTACAAGTTGTCATGTCGAAAATGAACTTTACAACTTTGGTGGGGGGGAGGATTAGGTGAGAGGGAAGGATGGGAAGGGATGGGAAGTGTAAACAAAGGAGGAGGCTACAATGCTTGATAAGAAAAGTATTCATTATCTTGCCAATGTAATTGTAACCCCTCTGTACAGTATTTTCACAATAAAAAACATTAAAAAATATTTCTAGTCTAGACTGTGCATTGTTCAAACTGTGACTTGGATACAGCACATGTATGGAGGTTCATTTGACCTCAGGAAGATGCATTCTAACACTAATGTAAAAGAAAAAATTCAAATCTAACCTATCTTCATTTAAGCAATTCTAGTTTAAATGTGAAAAATCCAGACAGGCATTGATGGCTTCTGCCTGGAATTCTAGCTACTCAGGAGCCAGTGGGGCAAGAAAATTTGTGAGTCTTATCTCCACTGAAACACCAAAAAGCCAAATTAGAGTTATGGCTCCAGATTTGAAACAATAGCCTTTAGGAAAAGAAGCCCAGGGACATCACCCAGACCCCGAGTTCAAGTCCCAGAACTGGTACAAAAAGCAAAATCCAAGAGCCAGAAGAGAATGAACACAGTGGCGCTGTGGCTCAAGTGGTAAAGCACTAGCCTTGAGCTGAAGAGCTGAGGGACAGCGCCCAGGCCCAGGGTTCAAGGCCCACAACCTACCAAAAAAAAAAAAGAGAATGAACATATTAAAAAAGTTGCTGCATTTATTGAACCAGTTTGTTCAGTTGACAATACTGATGGAGAATTATTCTGTTTCAGAAACAATAAAAGAATACCAGTAGTGGGCAGAACAATAAAAGTTTACATTCTACCCTGTGACCACCACCACCAACAGTAATAAAAGGTTACAATCCATATATACTGTCCAAATACAGTACATTCAAAATGCAAGGGACTAAAATTTGTGAAGTAAAATATTCTCAAGTTGACTATCAATGGAGATTTGTGCGAAGACCAATGGGAGAGCACTTTCTTAGCATGTACGTGGTCTCAATTCTCAATTCTCATCATTACCAAAATACAAAATCTAAGAGAAAAAAGAGATAATACAGGAAAGAAGAAACCTTGGGGTGAGATTGCAAGTTCAGATAAGGGAGCCAAAAATGATATAATGAAAGCAACACTTATACTTTATTATGTAATTATATATAAAATATAAATATATAAATATGTAAAAATACATTTTTGTACTTCTTGATGCTTTTTATTTCTTTTGGGGAGTGGAAAAGGAGGCACAGACATGGAGAGACTAATGGTGAAAGAGTAACATTTACAGAGACAGCAATGCAATTAATCAATGGACTAAAAACTTAAAGAGAGACTTGTCCAAAGAAGAAGAAAGAATGGTCAATAGACACATGAAGAAATGATTAATATCTCTGGACATAAAGGAAATATGAATCAAAACAACACTGAGATTCCACCTCATCCCAGTTAGAATGGCCATTATCAAGAAAACTAATAATACCCATTGCTGTGGTGGATGTGGCCAAAAGGGAACTCTACTAAACTGTTGGTGGGAATACAAACTTGTTCCACCACTCTGGAAATCACTATGGAGTTTCCTCAAAAGACTAAACATAGAGCTTCCCTATAACCTACCAATTTCTATCCTGGGCGTTCATCCAGTAGAACACAAACCAGTCCACATGACAACTACTAGCACAACCATGTTCATTGCAGCATTGTTTATGACAGCCAAGAGGTGGTAGCCACCCAGATGCCCCTCAGTGGAAAAATAGATCAAGAAAATGTGGGCTGTATACACAGTGGAATTCCACTCATCCATCAGAATGAATGGTATTGTACCATTTGTAAGTAATGGAAAGATTTGTAAAAAATATATTAAGTGAAGTTAAGTAGACCCAGAGAAACATAGGTTGTATGCTTTCCTTCATTTGTGGTGGCCAGAATGTACCTATACATATACAAACATATTTTATATTAAAAAACAATTACACTGAGATATGATATATTATAAAAGTCTTTAGGCATTCGCACACAAGACACCAAAGGAGCATATTCTTAGGAGAGAATCACAAAGGCACAAGAGCTATGTTTATCTGATCATATAAAGTAATATTCATTCAAATGAATTCTAGGAAATGGAAAGAAGTTTTTGTTGTTGTTTTTTTAAATTTTTTTATTTGCTGGTCCTGGGGCTTGTACTCAGGGCCTGGATGCTGTCCCTGGACTTCTTCTGCTTAAGCCTAGTGCTCTACTATTTGAGCCATAACAGCACTTCGGGCCTTTCCTGAGAAGTGTATTGGAGATGAGAGTCTCATGGACTTATCCTGGCTGGCTTTGAACTGATATCCTCAGATCTCAGCCTTCTGAGTAGCAAGGATTAAAAACATTTGACAGTGACACTTGGTTTTTCCTTTTGTCTTGTTTGTTCATTTATTTGTCTTTGGGAGAGTAAGGAAGGGGGCATAGAAATGGTGGGAGAAATGGTGAACAAGTCACCAGCAGTACTCATTGGACAGTATGTTGAAAATGAACTATGTAACATGTGGGTGAGGATGGAAAGGACAAACTGGGAGACAACAAGGGAAGGCTGACATTGTCTGAAAAGAAATGTACTCCTTTATCTGACTTATATAACTGCAACCCCTCTGTACATTCAACAGCTATAAAAACGTATCAAGAAGGGGGCTGGGAAGTTGGCTCAGTGGTAGAGTGCTTGCCTTGCAAGCCTGAGGCCCTGGGTTCGATTCTTCAGCACCACATAAGCAAAAAGAAAAAAAAAAGCCGGAAGTGGCACTGTGGCTCAAGTGGTAGAGCACTAGTCTTGAGCTGAGGCACAGCGCTCAGGCCCAAAGTTCAGGCCGCACAATCGGACCCCAAAAAAAAATGTATCAAGAAAATAAAGAGGGAAAGGAAGTGCCTGATGATTGATGGCCTAGTGCATTCTAAGGAAAGGAGAAGACACTGGGATCACATAAGCATTGTGGCATTGTAGATGTCTCTGTTGCTAGATCTCAGTGCTTCACAGACACATGCATCAAACTACTTTCTTTTGTGATAATGAACTCAAGCTATTAAATAAAATCAACAAGGAAATGAAACCTAACTTGATATCACATCCCAGTATTAGAACAACCAGGTCCCCAGGCTGCAATGCTGAATTTCTCTAGCAAAAACATGGCAAGGTAGGGAATTCTCTCCATTTGAAAGGTATGTCTTCAGTTGTCTCATTTAAAGAATTAAATGATTTTCATGTTGACAAAACAATGTCTTTTTGCCAAACCCACATTGAAAGGACTCTGCTGTCATCTTGAAATAACACTGAAAATTGTTTTCTCCTGGAATCTCAATGTGCTCTCACTGAGATCACTTGCCAGAATTTTTGTTGTGTCAGGTGGAGAAAGTAGAGGTATAGAGCTAGATCATGGCTTTCATGTCTCTCTTCCTTTTATTTAAAATAGCATACTACTCAGCACAAGAACTATTTAGCTAGGAGCTTGTGCCACTGTATGATTCAGATGCTACATTACAACAGAGCTGTAGCTTAACTATTTACCTGCAACTTTTGCCTGAGTCAGCATCAAGAAAATGAAAAATTCAGGAGTAGGGCTGGGAAGGTGGCTCAGTGGTAGAGCGCTTGCCTTGCATGCCTGAGGCCCTGGGTTTGCTTCCTCAGCACCACACAAGCAAAAAGAAAAAAGCCAGAAGAGGCGCTGTGGCTCAAGTGGTAGAGCACTAGCCTTGAGCTGAAGAGCTGAGGGACAGCGCCCAGGCCCAGAGTTCAGGCCCCACGACCCGACCCCCCACCCCCCCAAAAAAAAGAAAGGAAGAAAAATTCAGGAGTAAAGCCTCAAAATTGTTGCTGCTTCTGTGCTGTGTCCCTCTTAGATATATCTGCATTCTGAGTAACCCAGACACTGACTGTCTTCTCTGTCTGAATGCTGAAAAACTGCTGAGAAGGTCTTAGAAATATTCTGTACAGTCAACAAGAGAAGTCTGTTTTCTCTTTTATCACATAGTTAAGAGCCAAGAAGCTCTCATCTCTCCAGAGGGACAACTGAACTAGACAATTCTCTTTCTTCCTAAATATTCCAAAGGGTTGATTTGCATAATTTTACTGAACTACAGTGTGCTTTAGTACCCAATTTGTGATGAAGAAGCAAACATAACTTCAGCACCAGAAAAGGTTTACTTGCTGTTTTGTGGTTTTTCAAATTG